TTTCAAATCAAAAAGTTGTTTAGTCATCGAGGTTGTCGATACTGACTAGATCAAACTCCCCACACACCAGTGCAGTAAAAAAGGTATCTTGAAGATCACCCCGGATATTGTACTGAAAGCTTTGCCCGAATGACGTACCATGAGGAACGGTAACGATGGCACGCTCGAGATATCCGGCTGTGAGCATCTCCCTCAACAGAGATCTGACAATACCTGCTTCAAATCCTTCTTGAACTAGTGCATCAACGATGTCACTCTCTAGGTGGGGGGACATGTCACTCAGATGAGCGTAAATTTGGAATGCCGTTTTGTTGGCTTGCTCCATTATTGCTCAAAGGAGCCTTTAAAAAGGCTTTTTCTCTCTCCAGGTGTCAACGCAAGTAAAACTATTACTCACAGACTAAAGCTTAAAACAACACGCAGTTTTTTTATAAGAGTTTCGCTTGGCCTTTGCTTCGCAGCCGACAGCACAGGTACACAGAGTAACAAGTACAGACTCACAGACTGGCACGCAAAGTGAACAGCACAGACGACGGGGACGTGGAAACTCAGATCTGTGCCACTATTCGAAACAAAATTTAATTTATTAACAGTAATTGACAAACATAAAATTATTTTAATCTGCTCTCGATTAAATCAAATGGCACAATTTTTAAATTAAACAATCATTTCCTTGATTCACATTTTTTTTAACGCTTTAAATTTTTGATTTTTTTCTTTTTAACAATTTTTGATTTTGGTTTTAAAGGAACAATTTTTTTACTCTCGATTAAATCAAATGGCACAATTTTTAAATTAAACAATCATTTCCTTGATTCACATTTTTTTTAACGTTTTCAATTTTTGATTTTTTTCTTTTTAACAATTTTTGATTTTGGTTTTAAAGGAACAATTTTTTTACTTTTGTTCGTCAAACTTCTTGCCCTATCATCGAGTTCACAGTCACGTTTCAAAATTACTTTTGGAGACAAGCATAGTTTGACATCTTGCTCTGTATTCTGCATTGCTTCTTTTTGCATGTTTTCGATGTAAGGATCTCTGACAAGACGAACAAAAGGGACCATTTTTTTCTCGGCTTCCTCTCTAGCAGGTTCTCTAGCAGGTTGAGAACCAGGATCGTGTCCCAAACTCTCTTCAGCAAGCTGTTCCTCTTCGGGAGACGTCATAGGTTCTCCGTCGGGAGAAGGTGACGTTAACACCTCGGGAGAAGATGGCGGTAACACCTCCCTATTTGGTGTGAATGGTGTCAACGGCCTATAACCAGACTCATCTCTCTCGTCCTGAAGAGGAAGACTTGAGAACAGTTCATCGTTTTCATCAGTGAGATGAAAGGCACACACTGCATCCAATTGTAAATTTTCTGTCTCTAGCGAGACGCAGTTATCACTTGGCGAAGACATCTTTGAGGCAAAGCCGACAATACCAACACAGAGTGCTAGGTACAGACTCACAGACTTGCACTCAGAGATTAAAGCACAGTATTTTTGAAGTTTCTTTTGGCCTTTGGGTCAGCAAGCACACACTTGACAAACACAAAGTTTTCAGCACAGACGACGAGAACGTAGAAACTTTGTACTGCACTGTATCGTTAGCGGTCATTTCTTTTTTTGTGCAGCTCGACTAAGCAGCACGTCTAAGAGGTGCCCCAGCCCCGCACCCTCCAGTGAAGGCCGTCCACCAATGCTGCCTCCTCCCTTCTGAAAATGGATAAGGAATAATTATTTGTCGTTATCCAAGTTAAACAAGTTAAGTCGGTGCCCCAACCACGCACAGACCAGTAAAAGCCAACCGAATTTCATGCTTTTTCCTTAGCGTCAACTGATGTCCAGTAAGCTTGTAACCGTTCGTGCATTATTCCTCCTTTTGGCCACAGTAAACGAGATTTTGCAACACTCGTTATTGTGTTTCCAGCACGAACGACGGGGACGTAAGGAGACACTCGCGCTATTATTTTCAGATGTTATTTTGCCTTATGAATGAGTTTAAATTCTTCTGAACCATCATGTAAGTGTAAAAGTTGTAGTTTGGACTTGAATAATTATTTTTAATCTTAACCTATCGAGGCAATCTGCATATATCAAAGTTGCTGTGTAAAAGTTTTTTGTGTTTCAATAAAATACCCTTGACAATTAAAAAGAGGAAAAAGACTGGCTTCGCATGCAAAGTAACGCGTGCCCCAGCCTCGCACCCGCCTGTGAAAGCCAACCAAATTATTTGCTCCCTCCTTACAATTTAATTTGCTGCTATTTTCCTTTCTCTCTTTGTTTCAGGCGATTTTACTGAAAAGACGATATTCAAGTTGTGGCACTCCGTACCACCGGAGGCACTTCCGACCACCCGGATCAGTAAGCCAACCGCCACTCTCTTCAACACGGCTTTTGTCCCGTCCAGGTTGGCCAGCTAGCTTAAACAGTTTTTTTTTTCGGCTCCTCTTAGCTACCGCTGAAGCGGTATTTCCAGCACCAACTACGAGGAAGTGGAAGCCATCTGGTGCCAAAAATGTTTCTATGATGAGCGCCTCGACCGGGCGACAACGTGAGCGTGTTCTCGCACGACCAAGGAGAAAAGTGCTCAATCGATCACAACAACAACAAAGATGACGACTGCGTCTAAAGAATATTCTAATCTGTCTGAGTATCTGAAGAACAACCCTAGGGCAAGGGCAAGGTGGCTCTAGGGCACGCAAATGCAGATGGTGTAAGGGCCGAAACCCTCATAAAGGCCCAGAGTTCTAGGGGTATGCCCGCCCCGTGTATTGGTGTATTGTTTTGTTTTTGGCTCCTCTTAGCTACCGCCGAAGCGGCATTTCCAGCACCAACTACGAGGAAGTGGAAGCCGTCTGGTGCCATGTATTTCTTGTTGTTGTTGATGTTGTTGTGTGTTAAAGTTATTGAATCCAACGGGATGTGTTGACATATCTGTGTGATGTGAGCAACCGTGCAGGGAGCCTGAACGGTCTCCTTTTTTGTAAGAATGCCTTAACCTTGCATTCTACGGTGAAAGCCGAACAACTTCTTCATTGCTTTCGAATAATGACAACTAACAGGTCACCCAAGGGTTCCGACGAAACTGATCATAAGGTAAAGATTGAAAAACAAACGGTTCCTGTTCCTTTATTTTTTACAAAGATTTGCGTTAATAGTTCTTTACAGGCTAACATGCTTTAAAAGTTCTTTACCTTTATACATGCTTTTAAATGTCTCTTCCGTTTGCCAACTCCACAGGAGAAGGCAACGCGAAGAAACTTGCGCGTTCCGATCGCCATTATGAAAATATCACGCACAACCCCTAAAGTCTTCATCTTGAAAAGTGCACCACGGTGTCTTATCTGAATATCGGCCGCCCTTGTCTTCTTGCATTTTATTTGAAACACCTGTAAGTAAACATTTGTAAATTAAAGCGGTCGTAGAAGTGGACAATAAAACACATGCTATTTTGTTGTTGCAGCACAACAGGAAAGCGTGTATTCACATGTCCACAAAGCTCAACTATGACAGGACATGTCGTGTGCCCCAACCTCGCACAACGACGGTGATGGCCATCCACAAAACTGCCACCTCCCAGACTTTTTTTTTCTTTTTTTATTTTTCTGATGTATTTAACAAAATTCTGATTTCTTTTACAAAAATACTAATACAAAACTCAGTTATGTAAAGTTAAGGTACAAGTAATAATTACAAAACACAATACAACTTAAATAATTAATAGACCATGTCAGTGTCGAACGCGTCGTCAGCATCATCTTCTTTGTTATCCTTAGGAGCCTCT